AAGGCCCTCCGGGCATGCCACGGGCGTCCTGGCCGGCGCCCGGATTTACCAGGCTACCGCCTGCAGCCGCCGACCCCCAAGGGATAGAACCTTAGCGCTAGCCTTGCTCTATGTTAGCCTTAGCCTTAAGCCTTAGCCTTAGCCTTAAGAGTGCAGACCCAACCCAGCACCACCAAAGCAGGTACCCAAAAAGTCGACTTTTTGGGTACCTCCCAGATTTACCATCGGACGTCAGCTCTTGCATGAACCCCGATCATTGCCCAAGAATTTAGACCCAACCCTTCACCACCAAAGCAGGTACCCAAAAAGTCGACTTTTTGGGTACCTCCCAGGTTTACCAATTTAGACCCAACCCAGCACCACCAAAGCAGGTACCCAAAAAGACAAAGCCTAGAGCATTCCTAGGAAAATGCCAGAAAAGCCTTTGAAAATCTCATAAACCAACAGAAAACGTGACAAAATCTACGAAAAAGCAAGGGCATTGGCCGGGACCATGCCGCGACCAGCCCGGGATTCGAGCCCAGGACCATTTTGGACCGTGCTTATTTTCCCGCGCGGGTCGAGAGGGTGCCCCAAGATGTAAATCAATTGGGATGGCAGATTCTTGGACAATCCAGGTGACCATCAGGTCGCTGATTTCGTCACTGCAACAAGGGTCCGGAGGGGTAGGGGAGGTAAGGTCTAGGTCTAGGGCTAAGGCTAAGGACTAGGTCTAAGGTCTAAGGCTAAGGCCTAAGGCTAAGGCTAACATCGACAGTCACGCCTCACCCCACGGTGTGGGGTCGGCGGATTTGATAGACAATGAGTTCAACGACCCGGACCCAAAACAATGTTTAACAGTCGAGTGATGTCGAGTGGGTTTTATCCAAAAACATCCTCCGTATTCTCCGTGTGCCAACTGTCCGTATTCTCCGTGTGACAACTCCTTTTGGATGGGCAAGCACTTTTGACATTGATTGTACCACCCTCTTAGGCAAACCACAAAGGGGCATGAATTCCCTGGAACTTGGGTAGAGTGCCTTTGAAGCAGGTTTTATTTCAACCGGCACCGGTGAGAGGCCACCGCCTTGCTTTGGAGCAGTGCCCTGCTAAGCACGCCGGGCGCGTGGTTGGCGCTGAAGGAGCAGCTGGAGCTGCAGGGACAACGGCCAAGGGCGGAGGCAGGGTGAAGATGATGGGCCTGGGCTGCGCTCTTTCGATTTTGTGTTCGAGTGTGGTTTTGGACGCCAAGCCGCAACGGGCGGTGTGGGGTGTGGTTTTCCCGGTAGCCGCTGTGCCAAGATCATTTAGAAGCTGCACCAGAGATTCAATTGAAAGACTTGGATAGAGAGGTTAGGGGCCTACTTTCACGGGTGATGGTGCGGTAGTACTTGTACGGCTGTAGGGATTTTGCAGAGCCCTACTTTCATCGATTTTCATCGGAATGTCAGCTCCTTTGGCCTTGCATCATCTGGAAAACGACTCTCCAACCCTTGATGCTACTGGACACTGTTGTCATCACTTTGTGATTTCTCTTGGAGATTCCATTGGTGGGGGGATGCCTTGCTAGGGCTCACTTCAGTTGGCTCGTGCGTAGCATCAGCTGTGGAACTGTGGAACCTTTCAAACCATTCAGAGCCGCAAGCGCAAAAGTTCTGGGTGGCCTTGGGGCAGGGGTTTGGAGCTTGTGGAAGCAGATTTCCTAGCCACTCTGCCTGTGCCGGTGGCTCTTTGGGCGGGGTGGCCTTGCGAGCGTTGTGCCGAAAGCTGAAAGTAGCGCCATTGCTGATGTGTTTGTAGCTACGCTTGAAAAGAATGGAGCAGTGGCCATGGCAACCTTGTCTGAGGAGTAGAGTTTGTCTTGGGGACATTGTCAAGGGTAGGCCCAGAGAAGGTGGCTGTCCCGCCCGCTTCCTGATGAGTACGACACCCTCTTGACAATGGAGGCTCTAGCAGATGGAATGAACAGGATGTCTAAAAACAGGGTCAACAGTGGCAAGGGCAAGCCAGCACCAACATCACGCTTGGCCACCAACATCACGGGTGCCAGCGACATCACGAGTGCCATCTCAGATGCACTGACAGCGCGTGGCCATCCTGACAGCACTTTCCGTCTCGTAAGGCGTAGGGATCATTTGGACTCTCAGCAAGCCTGCTGAATAAGAGTGTGGCTGCGCTGATCCTCGGCATTTCAGGAACGCAACTCTTGATGTTTGGTTTAGCTGTAAGCTGGGCTGCCAAAGACTTCATTTGGCAGAGGTTCGTTCAGCAGTTGCCTTAGAGATCTTCCAAGTGAACGGCTCCCATTCACCATGTTCGCCGTTTGCCAAATCTTCTGAACGCACTGGTAGTGCTTTAGTGCGTTTGGTGCTGGCCACGTTTTCTGAGCGCATTTGCTCTCGACTGCCAGCTGCTAGCTGACGAAGAAACAGCTGATCTTTCCCGTCAGCGGGGGTGAGCCCTTAGCTGGGCCGTTGGCCCAGAGTTTCTGTAAGAGCCACATTGTCAAGCAAGGATTTGGTCATCAATCTGGAATCCATCTCCTTTGCCCTTTGGATCCGTGTTTGGGACAGTTGCACATGAACCCCAGTGTAGTGTACAGTGCCTCTTATTGAGATTTGCACACTTGAGTGCAGCAGCGCTGCTTCTCACCAGAGATGGTTTGTGCATGTTTTTGCCAATGGTCTGTGCATGTTTTTGCCAATGGCAGCGTACAAAACTCCCAGATATAGGGGTGAGTTCTATGCCAATTGCCAATGACAGACACTTTTCCTATGGACTTCCCAATTTGGACTCAGTCGTGGCGCTGGCAGGTCGCCCGAAGGGCTGCGTCACAGCGGGTGATCGCACTTCTTAGATCCTTGCCAGAGAACAAAGGCTGCTTTGCACCTGAATGTCAAGACACAAAAGATGCACAACGGACCTCACTACTCGCAAAATAATTCACCTTGCAAGTGTTGTAGTGAGCATCAACAATGTCAATGTAATGTCATTAACGAATCATGCGTTTACCTTTTTGCTTTATTCTTGGAGAGTCTTGCGTGCTTGTGATTCGGGCCAAGAGTTTGTTGAACATGCAAACATGAACCCTGTCCTATATTTACGAGTCAAATCACATAGATTCGCCATATGTTCTTCAACGGTCAGAGTAGATGTGGGGCAGACCTGAACAGACCATTTTGGATCGGATAACCACCAAATAGAAACACCTTTTGAGTCGGGCAGGCCACCCACTGAAAACACTGGATGGTTTTGGTTTTGAAGATCACTATGAATTTTCACTAGCCCTCACGGGCCCTCACTAGCCCTTTGTTGGCAAGGCTGTGGAGGTTTCACATTCCTCCACCAGCCGAAGTAGTGAAGAGTTCTGAGGAAGCAGGCTGAACGATTCGATCAACAACTCTGCCGTGTTAATTCTTTTTTTTAAAAGCAAACATGAAGCCCTGGTGTGTCCGTGGTTGGTGTTTTCCAGCGAAGAAAAATAACACAATAAGCGTGATGTACCTGAGGTGAGCTGCAGCTGAAAGAAAACGAACAGCATTAATTATAAATAAAGGTTCATTTGTTCTTTTGATTAATCCCTGTGGACCTTGGCTGAGCCGCCCGGTGCAACCAATGTAACATGATTTGCAGATATTGACATTCCCATATTTGTACGTGGGATTCCCCAGAAAAAATGAAAACACACATACAGTCACATACAACTCAATCAATCAAAACTCGGAGAAAAAGAAACCACCACATGGAACAAACACTCCATGGGACTGCCATATATGCCTACATTGACCCCTCAAACCACCCCAATGTAGGCTTATACGGCATACATGGAGTGTCTGGGCATGGAACACCATGTTCACCGCTTTTCCCGTTTCGTTTCTGCCACGTGGAAGCGTCCAAAGTCAGCGCACTGAAGGAAGTGGTGGAGTCGGTCAACGGCCTTTGTGTGCCGTCAGCCACTGGGCCATCAGCCACGTGTCGGTTGAACCGAGCACCGGGTCCCAAACAGAGTCGGGGGATGTGATTGAGGACCTGAAGGGATGGAATATTTATAAGTAAGGGGTCCCAAAGAGATGGGGTCCTGAAGAGATGGGGTCCCAAAGAGTTTTGGATCTTTTTCTGGCTTGTAAACATTTTGAAGTCTGGGCATGTTTGGCTAGATGTTGTACTCGGTGAACATGGTGAGATCTGTTCAATGTTTCACTCCCAAGACTGATATTCTCGAGACAACGAGAGCCGTTCATAACTGGTTCTGTTGCCTTGATAAGCTTTACACCTTGAAGAGAGATGCCTTCCAAAAGATAGCAAAGGGTTCCACGGGCTCATTAGAACTCTAGGGCGCCCTCAATGTTCAATGTTCCCAGCCGCTCCAAACAGGCCTTGGTCCCAAACCATACGGAAGTGAGGGTCCGGACCCCTCCATATGAGGGTACGACCATGAGCGTTTGGGTAGTGTTTGTTTGTTTTCTTCTACTGCGCGCCATCCGCGTGGCCCGGACTCAAAACATGGCTCCCGAGTTCTCCGCTAGACGTAGTGGAACCCCAGACGGAGAGGACGTGACGGAAGTTGATCGGGTCGGAGACCTGAACCCCCAAGGGGTGGTGAATGGACACCCCGAATCACCTCTGGTGGTGGGAGTTGTTTTGCTTTTTGTTTAAAGAATCGTTACGTTTATTTCTTTAGTGCGCATAATGCCGCTCAACATTGTTTTGGAAATTTTCGTGACAGTGCACAAACATTTGTCTTGACAATTGTTTAGCCGGATCAACCTTCACTATCCTTTGCTGTTGGTTGGAAGGAGAAGCCAATCGGTTCTATTCACTTTTGGAAACAGCTGTCAGCGATTGAGCTTTGCTTCTTGATTGGAGCAGATCAGTCGCACTCATGCTGAAGGCAAGATATTTTACCTATGAAGTCCAAACCAAAACGTTTGCCTCAAATTACACAATGTTTGGAAGAGGATATACCAAAAGACATCAAAAGATCAGGTTATTGCCATGTTAGGAACTGCTGTGAGGACGGGTCAACCTAGGACTGATCAAAAGAAGGCATGTTTACACCTCAGACCGACTCGGAACGGCCGCACTCAGGTCATTGCTTGGAGGATCTTGCACTGCAGCTGGGACAGGAGAGTTATGATAGCTATATGGTTCACAGGGGTCGATCTGAAGAAAGATCCGGATCAATCCTGGTTTGAGCATCCTCATCGGATGGGCTGAATTTGTGGATGAACACCTCTGGACCTTGAGAGGTGATGTTTGATTCGATTGTCCGTCCGGCAGGGAGAGTCTTTTGGTTTGCCGGACTAGCAGAGGAGTTCAATTGGAACATGATTGGAGATTTCTAGGAAATTATCATATAGAAACCTGGACTGCTGAGGAGTCTAGCTGGGGTTTCATGAATGAAGTTGCAATATGTCGCCGTCGGTGACGTGGTTCTGCCCAAGGCCCAAGATCTTGGAGCGACGTCTTCTACGACCCTTGGAGCGAGGAGCCTGGGACCAGGCTCGAACGAACACCCCGATCCGATCGGAGACGTCGCACACGTTCAGAGCTTGGGTATCTTGGGTCGGCCAAGAGTGAGGAGCTTGGGATGGCGTGACCATGTGCGACCCGTGAAGACACGGTGGCTTTTGGCTTTTCGGCGGAGAGATAGGGGGTCGAGGGCTCAAAAAGCCGATGAAAATTGCTTCTAAGATCTTCTAAGCAAACATATTGGGGTTTGAATGTGTTTAAAAGACGCACCTTGGGGTCATGAGTCGAGCATGCGTGGCACATTTGCTGCTCAGAGATCCCATCAGCAGAAAGTAAAGACATCGCCTCAGATCGAGATCAATGAGTAAAATACAGCAACTCCCCGCAGCGTTCGCAGTCCATTCTTGCATGCCTCCCTAGACGTTGCTCTTCGTTGCTGCTCCCGTGCCCACTCGGTCGCCGTATAGCGCTATAGCGCGTAATTGGATTGACCGAGCCGCTTCTGACCGAGCCATGGGGTGCGAGCTTTGGGGAACCACCATCGCGGGCTGGGCCACCGAGACCCGGCACTGGTGGTCGAGCTTTCGAGCGAGCGTTCGGCGTCAGGGATTTGCCGATGGGGGCGGGGGGAGGATGGCTTGGGATGAAGAGACGAGGCGGTCGTCGTGAGGACTGAATTCAGAAAAGCTTTTGGAAGGGTATTCCAGGGGATGATGTTCAGGCTTAAGGGTCTGTATATCGCTGAAAGGATTTAGGGAATCTGCAAGAGGAGGGTTCTGGAAGGCGCTAAGGGAATTTATGGGGAAAGTGTCTTCTTTTAGGAGATGGATCTTCAGTTCTTGAGTATCGGTCTTACACTCCCGAAAAATAACATAGACCCTGACGATGACCCCCTGGAAGATGGTTTTCCTCTACCAGTGGTTTTCAGGGTCCATGTCGGTCTACCAGGGTGTATATGGTGTTTTCATGTTCTTTGTCTTCTCTGAACTTGAAACACTGTCCTACCACAGGGTAAACAGTTACAGTTGTTTGGTTGTCTTACCTCAAGCTGCTAAACTGTCCTTGCTCCCGAGGACTATGTCATTTCACTTGTGTGCCTGGTCCTGTGGATATTGGCCCTCAAGCCGCTCAACAGCAGAAAAGGAGAAGAAGGTCATTCACGGGCTTCAAAACGGTTCAAAGTCAAAACTAGAGTCAGCGCCCAATCAATACCCAGTAGAGCCAAACATGGGGAATGGCATGTATTTGGCATTATTTGGCATTGAGATGCCTTTACAACCCTTAAGGACTGCCATCGATATGGAAGCAGAACAAGGACAACGGCCCCCCGAGTTTTCTTCGCTCTCCGTGCAGATATGATCAATACTCGGTGGATCCAAACGGCCACAAACCACAGATTTCAACATATGTCAACCTCCTTCTTCGGGAGTTCAGCGGATTCTCTGGGCACTTGACGTATCATGACGTATCATCCATCAACCCCAAGTAATCAGCAAATCTTTGGTACATGAGATCCTTCTGGGGGATTCACAACTGCTTCACTTCTGCGTTCGACGCTCCTCACCTCCTTCACTTCGGTCACGGCGCTTGTTGGAACGGCCAATCCAACTCATCACACCTTCCGCGTTTCTCCGAACACGAAAAACGAAGGACACGCGAAAAACCCGGCAACGTCGCCCTTCAAATCGTCCCCTTCAAAACACGTCTCCGTCTCCTTCGGCCGGGACGGACTCTCAGGCAGCCCAAGCCGACGGATGCCGCCTTCATGGTCTTGGTGGCCAGCACGGGGTTGGGCTTCGGCTTCGGCGGTATGGCCCACATGCGGCTCTTCATTGTGGAACGAGCCGGCGCGGTGTGTGGCTCCGCCTTCTCCGAGGCGGGGAAGGACCGAAGGAGGGTGGAAGATGCTTGGGTCCAGGTGGATTCATCAAGGAGAAATGGATTGTTTGGAGCAGAACCCTTTTCTTCCTCTTGGGAAGGCTTGGGGAGTACTATGGAGTCCTACCCAGTCAGTGAATAACCGTTGAACCCTGTTTGATCCTTTTTGGGGGGATTGGTTTCCTCACTGTATAAACATATGTGGAAAAAACATGGTTAACCATGGTTAACCTTTTTTCAAGGGAAACTGAGACAGTCAGCAGTACTACTATGTCATTCTCGCGTCGTACGGCGTGAAATATGGGATAAAACTCAATGGGCACGTCGTCCACTGTGGAAGGTTTGTTCCTGTTTGGTCACTGCTGCCTCTTGGTCGGCATTCCACTTTAAGAGTCCAGTCTAAGACCATGGTCTTGCTTTGCAGTTCCTGAGAAAAAATAAGTAATTCCTGATCATTTTTGCTGGTTGCCCATGTTTCTTGTCTGTTGCTCATTTGTGGGAACGAATAGACACTGTCTAGACTTGCACAAAGAGAGGGAGAGAGAGAGAGAGTTAAAGACAAAGAAACAACAAGAACATGATAACACACAAAAAAACAACATGTTATAGAATTTATAGATGAACACAACACCAGGTGCACAGTGAATGGATGTATCCCTGGCTGCTGGCGATGCTCATCTCCGCCTTCTCCCCGGCCGCGTTGGCGGCCATGGCCATCCACGCTCCAGGTGGGAGGTTTCAGGTGGAACAGGTTCGCATGCGACGCGACGCGACGCGCATCCTATGGGACCAGATGAAACCCCCACCCCCGAGGACCGGCCAGGGTGATGTTGATTGATGAACTGATTTCAGGGGGTTTGGAAGTATCTTCGGTGGATCCACCATCGCTCGGCGGTCGAACCGGGGCGAGATCCGAAGTTAGCTCCAACTGAGCTCGTGGGGCGTGGGACCCAGCCATGGACCCACCAAAAACGCCAGCACAGTCTGGAAGTATCAGCGCTTTTTGCCACCAGCCATTTTGCTTCAGGGGGTTCTATAAACATGTTAAAACCACCCGAACGCAGTGGTGCTGGGAGGAAAAGGTAAACGATACATAACGATACTATAGTTGCAACTAGTAGGGTTCTGCCTAGTCTCAGTATATTTGGGCCAGTCATGGTGGAGACCGTGGAGAGCCTTCTGGAGGGTGTTCCTAGGCTTTTGGCAAGTCTGAGACTTTGTGATGGCGGAGGATGGCGGATGCTCAGAATTTTGACATGCACATGTTTCAGATTTATTGTTTTTTAATTAAGGAATGTCTCTTAGAATGAGGGTCGAAAGATTTGTTGAAGTCATTGGACGTATCCGTCCAGCTCTTTTTCAGGGAACCCCTAAACGTTCCTCGGATGTGGATGAACAATGTAAGACCTAGGATTTGGGGCACATAGATGCACATAGGATTTAGGATATTTAGGACCTAGGATGTTTGGTGTCCCCCCTCTCCAAATGTTCATAGCCGGCGCTCCAATGGAGAGAGACAGAGAGACAGAGAGAAAGAGATCTCTTCGTGCTACCCCCGGCACCACATCCTAGCTGATCCCCCGGAGCCTGGTTCCTCTCCAAATTGCGGGGGCACTGACCCGGGTGTCTTCCCGAGTGCAGTGTTGGAGTAGTGGTCCGCCTGTTTGCCTGAAAGAGAGAGAGAGAGAGAGACTTCACAGAGAGCCTCCCCCTCACTCCAGGCAGTTGTGCCAACTGGTTAGCTGCTCCGATGACTCTGGGACTTCTGTTGATCTCCTTGGGCCTCGCAGTTCCTCGTTCCCACGGGGGGCGGAACCGACGCCGCGCGTCCTCGACGTCGACACCGACCTGAGCTGCCAGAGACGCCCAAACACACGCGCCACCCCCGAAGTCACTGGTTTTGGCTGATCAGGTGATGTTGGTTTCCCCCGGAACTGGGTGAATCCCCACAGGTTCCTGGGAAGCAGCAGGCCTGGGAGCCGCAAATCCAGAGACGGAGCTGGGGGGAGCCTTTGTGTGACTGATTAGCTCCTTCTGCCGAAGAAGGGACCAATCACTTCACCAATGGACAGCGTAGCTGCACCCGTCCTTACATGTCCTCACTTCCAACTTCAATAAGGAGAGGACCTGGGATGGGGATACATCAGAAGGCCCAACGTTTGACCTATCCGTGATTCTGTAAATTGTACACAGAATGCCCAAGATGAAATTCAGGATCCACAGCACCTTCGGATGCTTTGCGTTCATACCCTACCTTGATTGCAGCGATGTGTTATGTGGTCATATTCGGGAGTCATGGTGGAAATATGATTGCACAATTGAATTGCAGAAAACACTGCGAGAGCAAGCCAGAACTGGTAAGCTCTTACCAACAACAACAACAACTTCTCACGCACTCGGAGAGTAGAGCCGCCCTACGGTCAACCACTTGTTGACCGGACTCCCAAAGAAGGAGAACGTTTGCACAAGCTCAGCCTTGCGCCAACTCAAGATTGGCCCGCCAAGACACTCCATCAGGGAAAAGGAGATGCATCCAGGCGAGCATCACCAATCAAATCAAAACTAGAAAAGATCAACCTCATCGAAGTCTATCTCGAATGGAGAAGAACCAAACGCGAAGAAAGCGTGGGCTCAAGGAAAGGGGTCAAGTAAAGGATCATCCTTCCCGGCCAATCCTCTTAAAACCCTTCACAGAAAGAAATTCCCCCTCATCATCCGCAGCTCCCAAGCAGCCGGCAGCCGGCAGCCAGAACAACAACAACAGCAACAAGCAACAAGCAACAACAACAGCAGCAGCAGCAGCAAAAGCAGTGGCAGCGCCAACACCAACACCAACACGAACACCACCAACACCAACAGCAACAGCAGCAGCAGCACCAGCAAACAGCAAACAGCAAACACAGAGCAAACAGCAAACAGCAACAACGACAGTAGGAGCAGGAGCAGGTCAGCAGAATTAAACAAGTGGCCACAAGACCACTGGGAGGAGCAAAAACAGACGACCAAAACCATTCTAATTGAGCTACAAACCCACGTCGTGCTCAACTGTATGTCCTATGCAACACACGTGCAACAACTAGCACATCAGATATCAGGAGTCACCCTCACCTGAATTCCAGCTTTGCCTCACCAACTGAAGACAAAACATGCTGTTCGTATTGGTGTTCGTTCTTTTCAGCCTCCCACGGCGCTACACCGACCACCGCGCACCAACGCGCGAACACCAAGGTCTTCGAAGGTTTCTCCGTGTGGAACGGCAATCTCACAGGATCCGGGAACTATATCGGCCTCTTGGACCAAGGGGCAAAGACGTGAGTGCAGCTGTTTGCTTCACCGGGTGAAGGCAACATGAGAATATGAGGAGAAACACATGGAAAAACGGAGTGAAACAGTTTGGGCTTCCAGCTGTTCAAGTTCGTGGTGAAAAACCAAGCTAATTGCGCTAATTGTAATTACATGGTCGACATCGGTTTTTCCTGGGAAGCGGATGCGGTGGATTGAGTATGCGGTGTGGGAAGGTTTCGGGTTTTTGGTGTTGCTCCGTATCCTTGGGCTTGGAGTGGTTTTGGTTCATTCAAAAAACAAAACGTTGATTTTGCTTCAGCGTCGGACAACATGGACATCGCGCTGCAATGCAAATAGCTGCAAATAGTAAATAGAAATGATGGGGATTATGGAGAGATCTTTCCGTATACATCTCTAGTCTCTAGTCTATTGGATTGATCTCACATGTTTGGTTTGCTCGAGAAGATGTCATTTCCTTCGTTCGTTCTGAGACTCGATGATCGTTTCAAAGACTCACCCACCCATGACCCCGACCTGGAGCCCGGTTCTTCGCGAGGTGTTTGGCGGGAGGGTCCGCCACAAGCTTTTCGGGTTGAGCACCACTGACTTGTCGGTGACACGCAACTGGAGGGTTCACTAGAAAACTGTGAACCAGCACCCGTGGCCTGGGTGCTGGAGGAAGCATTTGCTTTTGAACTAAATAGTATAGGCTACTTGTAGTCTTGTGTTGCTGCGATGGTGGATGAAAGGACTATGACTATATGGTTGGGCAGTGGGGTGTCAGAATTAGCAGTGGGGTGTCAGAATTACTCTTCCAAAGATGCTTTCTATAGGTGAAGATTCAGCGACATCGTGGTAGACCATGCGGTTTCCAAGGGTTCCTAAACAAGATCCATTCATGGCAGTGCTCCAGCTGGTGCAACACAATTCAGGATATTGGACTTTGGCAGCTTCCAGCCTTGCCCTTGTGACATTTCTGTGCGCTGCTTGGTGCAAGACAAAGAGAACGAAAGGATCTCAAAAGGACGTTATGACATATGGTGGTCCCCAAATAGATGGTGGCACGGTTTCCAATACATTGACTTGTCTATTTGTTTGGGGGTCTACAAAAAAGGGGTCAATTCTTTTGCCAGACATGCCAGACACTCTTTCCGCGTCTCTTTCTCTTTGGGTTCACGGATTGTTCACGGTATAACCCGAAAAAAGGAACGGTCGGGCCCAAACCAATCGAAACATCCTTTGGCACCACCCTGCACCACCTCGGAGAGTGGGTTCAAACACATAAAACACATGCTGGGGTCGATCATGGCTGATGAGTCTATAAACCACCCACCAGTTTGGTGGGTGCTGGCCTACTCCCTTGGCTTGGGTGCTGGCCTGCTCCTGTGAGGATGCCTGTCGCGGAGTGGGTGGAACAGGAGTGGGTGGAAAAGGCTGGTCCGGAGTCGCCAGTGCTGCCTGCTACATCGCCGGCATTCTCACCCTGCAGTTCCTCTCAGGCATGGAGATAGTCGGATGGTTTGGGATGAATTTGGGGGTTCGATGGAGCAGGATGTTATAGTCAGGCATGGAGATGGTGGAGTCAGGGATGTCGGAGGTCTCGATCGATGGAGGGAATTGATGAATTTGGGGTTCGAGTCGAGTCAAGAAATTAGAATGTATACATACAAAAGCATGTCGGTACACTAACTTCGAGCAGAACATACATCAAGATATTCACATTTGATTGCTCTGGTTGTTTTTTCTATCCAGCAGCTTATCGATCAGTTCGGGTAGTCTAAAAGGACTGTGTACGCCAACACACACACACATTATTAAATTATGCATTTTGTGTACATGTACATACACGGCGTATCACAGTGTATTTTGTTCAATCAATCCAACCACGAAAGCGCTAGGAATGTTCCATAGTTACAGGTCGCCGAGTTACTCCTTTCATGTGGCTGCACGCTCACCTTCCGATTCCGGCCAGAGTCTTTGGAGTGTTGTACCAAGAAGCCCTGAGCTTCCACTGAGAATGAAAGAAAGGCCACCGTGACGTGGTTCTTTTCATGTTCTTTCTGCCCCTCTCAAGGCTGGATCCATCCCCCCACATGGTCCACCGATGTGATTGGAACCGACCGAATCCTCCATCGAATCCACCCGGAGCACCGCATCTCGGAGTCCATCGTGGGTAATCAAAGAGTAGGCTTGCAATTAGATCATACTGTAATGGCTTAAGACCTTCCGAGTTGTACACCATTTCTTGTGGCGACAGAGAAGGTCGCACATGAAGAAACAGCATGACACACTTTAAACAAAACATGAAGAAACAACATGGTCAACACTGAAAAAGCTTCATGAAGGAAAGAAAACATTAAACCAAAAAAAATGCGTGACATGGAAACCTACAAAAGTGACATGGGTTTCACCTCCCTATAGTTACAAACCATTTGTCTCCATTTGGTCTCCAACACGTGAGCACCATGTCGGTCAGCTGTCACGGTCCCCAACGAAGTCCCCGAAGTCCGACCGCTCGGACCGTGGCCGCCAGGCTCGTTGCCCGACGACGCTGGGCGGAACGGTTTGGTCGGTAGGAACTGGAGACGGGGTAAACATGGGGAAAGCCTAAACCCTGAACCTCTTTTTTTTAAGTGATGAGTATACTGTTTTTTTTCTTGGAGGCTCAAGGACTTTTTAACCTGTTATGAACAAGGATCAATGGCAGACACAAGGACCCATAATGAAGGACCTGCTTTAAGTGGGGGCTTGGGACGCGGGTGAGATTTACCCAGGGATGAAGATGAAAATGACCCAGTGTATTGTATGATTCGGTGATCGAGCAATCTAGAGGTCTAAAATTGTATATGCTGTTGTTTGTCCCAATTTCCAATTTAGAACTATCGGTTTGGGTAGATTTCGGTGTCGATACGAAAACGTGGACTCGGTGGACCCACCTTTTTTCTCCCAACGGTACCACAACTCCAGAATAACTTGGCAATGGGGATTCCCCGCAGAACAATTGACAAATCTTAGGTGTGGCGAAACTTTGGGGGGAGTGCAGATTCGGGTTCCAACAGGTTCCAACCTTCATAATGAGACCAGAATTCCTTCTGGTGTCAGACGCGAAAGGATGCGAACCGGTGCTGTGAAAGGGGTAGCTTCAACTTAGCCTGCGATGAGTCCTGCATGCGGTGCCAACGCAATTATGTAGAATGTTTGCTCCGGGAGCTGAAACAAATAGAGTTTAGTTGACGTCAAAGTTTACTTGTACAAAAGTGTCTCCTGGCCAGACGACCGCCCTCCGTACGATCTAGAAGCGTTAACAAAACAAAATTTTCTCCTTCTAGATCGTCAGCACAGCCTGGGCACGTTGAGGTAACAAAAATTGAACAGAGGCAGCAAATGATGGTGATTGCATTTGGTTAGGGGGTTCCGTCCCACTCATCAAGGCCGTGTTGATTGCCAGGGAAAGGATGTACACACAGAGACGATGTCAGATCATCCTTGTTCAAAAGTCCAAGAACTGTAAAATGATTTGGAGCTTTGTAGAAAGTGTTGGAAACACTGCAAAGCACTATTGGGTGTGTTTATAAGATAATCCATAAGGTTTGTTTGGGTAGAACAGGTTAACTCGGGATATCTTTCATGAATCAGATGAAGTAGTCTTTTCTACCATGACCAGGGTCGTGCAGGTGTGGCGCTTTTGTTGGAGGGACTTGGACAAGAAAAAGCATGAAAAAGCTGTCCGTAGTTGGTAGGGGGGTTGTTTTATGCCTACAAGGAGGATTCCAGGATGAGATGTGAATCGTCCACAAGAAAATGGGCCTTCTCGCAAGTTCCTGCAAGTTGAAGGGCTAGGTTAAGCTGCACAATCTGTGTGACTTCTCGGCTCGTTTCTATATCCAAAGGCCATCGACGTAGAGGCTGGGCTATGCCCTGAATTCTTGGCCTCAACCAGTACGGTCACCCCCTATGGACATAGGCAAGTGATTCTTCCCCTATTTAGTTGGCAGTGCCATACCTATTTTTGGTGTAGAACCTTGGATGTACGGCTCGGCAGATGGACATGTGACTCCGTGGTATGTCCTTCGTCCAGCCAGCTTACGCCCCATACCCAGCCGCGGCCGAGGCCTTCAATCAAAATGCGGTTTTCCATGTCTGGGTGATCCTCATGGTGCCTGGGCCGAGGGTTTTGGTCTTGAGACGCGAGAAATCCGGACGGTAGAGGCGAATTGGCCAGCGCCGAACTTGGAAGAAGACGATGGGAACCTCTCGTGTAAGACGATGTGCTGTTCAGTTTGGGTGAATCTTTGAGGGAAGGTAGTTTTGTCATGTGATTTTTCAGGGCCTAGACACACTGCTTCTTGGATTCCAAAGTGCCGTTAAAGTAGCACCAAGCACCTCGATACAATCTCGCGCAGCCAAAGTTTCATGCATCCAGCCACCATGAAGATGTCGTTCCGTGAAACTGCCAATGGATGTTGACCTGGCAAACCCCGAAACTTAAGAGATGAAAGGTGGTCTCTGGCCGTCAAAGAATAAGGACTTCAACACATCACTGGGCGGCTTCAACACAGCACTGCATGGTGACATTATGTGTTTGGTTCCTATTATATGTGAGACGATCTATATAGTCGAGATCTGAGTGTAGCCAAGCAGTGCTTCTCAAGCAACATGTCTCAACCGTGTCTCGTCCACCCAAGAGTTCCCTTGCACCCGTTGTAAAGAGTTGCTACTGTAGACAGGGCGGAACGGTGGAACCCTGTCCACCATGTCCATCATGTCGCGGTGGTGTACATCATATGATGTTTATTTGGATGCAAACAGTTCTCGAATTCAAGTACGAACACCCTGAATGATAATTGTCCGAAGAAGTTTTCAAGGGATCGGATACCGGCATACAGGCTTACATGGCTCGTCCATGTTTGGCTTGGTTGCTTTTCTTATACCTTAGAGCTCTTACATCCCAGGTAGGTCGTCACCTGCCCTGGACCACCTCCTTTGGTGACCTCTGCCCTGGTCGTGCCGCCTCATCGTCGGACCCTTCG